AAAAAAAAAAAAAAAAAAAAAGGTTATGTGTGTGAGTGTATGTGTGTGCATAAGTGTACACATACTCCAGGCACATTTGTCAGGGAGACAGACAGTATTGAGGTGATAGCATTTGCAGAAATTCCCACCAGAAGTGTTGTATATTGGATCACACTGTGGACGGACACTTTTCTGTTCTGGAATGTTGACATTTCTTTAGCTGAGACAAGGGGCAGAGGTGTGTTTCTTCACAGCTTCAGTGAAGCCTTGGGCATCTGTGCTTCCCTCTGCAGAGGATGAATCTGGGAGATGCTGACCCTCCGCCTGAGGACCACGATCCAGAACATCACTTGTATCTCATGACTCCTCCCATCCGTGGGTTCCAGCATCTCCCTCTCTCTTGCCTCTTCCACCTCCAGGGTAGACTATGCAGAGAGAAAAGAGACCTACCTGGCTATTTGAAGATCTCATTTTGCCTGACCCTAAACACTATGTGGTAGGCACTGGAATTTAATGGCCTGGCATTTGCAATATGGCTGCTTTTGGCCTCCGGTGCTGTAGCTGTCCCCCCACCCCCCATAGTGGTAGAGGGCAGAGCCCCGAATCACAGAAGAGGTGGTTGGGGGCTGTGCTCTTCACCGCTGGGATCTCTAAAAGCGGGACGAGTTGAAGTAGTCACCAGTAGTTAAGAAGACAACAATAACAAAATCTTATCCGAGAAGAGGCAACCAGTCCTGGTTGGTAAAGGGAAAGCGGCCCTGCGTGTGCGTGAAACTTATGAATGAAAAGGTCAGCGGCTCATTCCAGAGATCACGCTGAAGCAGAGCGGGACCCCCAGTCAGACAGCGCCTCTCCCTGCGGGTCCCCCTGAGTTTCCTCAAGTAGAACTCAGGAAGTGAACTAACTGAGGGCTGAGAAAGGCCAGTTAAGCCCCTCACCATTTACAATTTCCAAGTGTGTGTGTGTGTGTGTGTGTGTGTGTGTGTGTGTGTGTAGGGGGGAGATGCCACCAACCGCCGGTTGGTGCTGTGTTTCCTCTCATTGCATAATACTACACCATTCCCTGTGTGTAGTGGCTGTTCTATATATATATACTCGGGAGGCGACATATGGCGCTCCCTACCCCCACCTGTCAAAACTGTGACTATATCACTTCTGACGACCAGAAGGAAGCTGCTAGGCTGGGCCAGGATTCTAAAGGCTGAGGAGGTAATTCGGAGCCATGGAAGGAGGCACCATATGCTTAGGGGTTGCCAGCTGCTTGTGTGCATGGGGAAGGTTTTAGTGCCCGTCTGCAAAGCCAGGAATGCGCTCGCTTTGGTGCAGTATGCACTGGCGCAGGGAGTTGGGCGGGGGATTTGGGGTGCCACTTTTTCTCTTCCTGGAAGGGAAATCTGTTGGGGGCCACGGTTCTCCAAGAGGGGGGCCCAAAAGATCACAGTCTCATCTAAAACTTGCTCTCGATAACGTCAGGCCTGGCCAAATAGTATTTCTTTAGAAAATATTTTTTTTTTTGTCGTTGTCATTTTTTTTTTTTTTTTTTTGGTTTTGTTTTTTTTGGATAAAGATTAAAAAAACCACCACCTC